CCAGGGGCACTTCCCACACGCTGCCCCTGGGAAAAGGTCTGAGCAGAAATCCCCCCTTTGTCTGCAGTCACTGACCCATGTTGTCCCTGGACGCGTCCTCCCGGCCAGAGCTCTCTCAGCAGTTGGAAGTCTCAAGGTTGGAGACACGTGAGGCTCCCGGGCCCTGGGACGTGAGGCCTGAGGCCGGAGTTCAGCCACAGCCCAGCGCACGGCATGGACGTGAGCAGGTCCAGGCCAGGGGCCGGTCAGGCCCGTGGCTGCGACTCTTCCGGCATTTGGATTATTCTAGGAAATCAGCCAGCATTTCAGGCCTCGATGGCTCGATTTAAGAATCTGAGTGAAAAGCCACAGAAATTCAAATTATTTTATCCTGTCCAGGAACTAGAAGCACTTCCTCTTTGCCTGGTAACAGACACTCACAGAATCGCATCAGAGAGAGGGAGAAAGGCCCACATCCTGCACGCTGACCTTGGGGGGCGCCCCGAAGGGCAGGACAGCACCCACCCCAGCCTCTGCCGCCCGCTCGCCGTCTCACGGGACACCTCAGGCTAAGCTCGCGCGTTAGAAGTCAGGACGGCAAAGCGCTTTCCAAGCGTCCGCTGTGAACTCCAGAACCAGAAACTACACAACCAGAAGCGAGCTGTTGGTTCTGAAAGGCTGTTCAGAGCCCCACACAGCTGGACACCCCAGACGGCCCAGGAGGTGAGGACCGGCGAGGCGTCCACGGGAAGGTTCTCACGCAGAAGCGGACACGTCGCTTTGTAAGCCATTCCCGGAAAACAACAGCCATTCTCCGGCCCCTCGACGCCAGCTTTCCCTGCAGAACCTCTAGAAGAGGCTGTGGCTAAGGTCTGTCTCTGGCCCTCACGGGGACCTCTGTCTGCGGGGTTCCCACCTGCCCCAGAAGGGTGCTTCGCGTCCTGGTAACAGGACACGTGTGTTTTTGTCAGGTTCCAGGCATCGCCAGATGCCATCCCCGCAGCCTCCAAGGGACAGAAAATTAGGCGGCTCTCCTGGTGCAGGGACCCTGCGGGGGCAGCTCCGGGGCCAGGTAATCACAGGCTTGAGTGCCGGCTGCACGTCAACAACAGGGGCCTGAACAAGCGTCCCCGACTCTGAGCCGGGTCCTGTCAGTGCTCGGGCTGTGCAGACACCAGCTGTGGCGCCACCGTCTCCCCGCACACTGGCGTCTGTCCTAAGGCTCACAGTCGGCGATTTCCTCTCGTGATGTGCAGAGGGCGTGTCCTTTCCGCCAGGTCGAGAAAAGACCCCCAGTGTGCTGGCCCCGACCAGGGCTCCCTGGCGGAGTGGAGGTGACCCCTGTGGAACGGCACGCGGCGGGAATTTTTACCCCCAACAGATAGGTGTATTTAATCTTACTCCAAATGAGGATAAACTCTGAAATATTCAGATAATTCATGAAATGCAATCAGGGTCAGCGGGAGCTTTTTCAGATTTTGGAAGCTACCACGTCTGCACAGCACAAAAGTTACGGATCTTACTAAAATCATCGGTTTCATAGCCAAAAACCTAAAATACACGGATATGACCTGTAGCTGGCTGCTTGGGTCGCTAAACCCATCGTCCAAGTGAAAACGGCTCACGAGGCCCCTTAGAAAAGGAGGCCAGGTACAAAGCTGAGGCTCGTGCACAGGAATTTCACTGGAAAACAACCACTGAGAACCCACATCAACAATCGCCTGCCTTTCTGGCCTCTCTGCTTCTAAGTCTGTTTTCCTCATGTGACTCCGCCTCTCAAGGCGAATTCGGAGATGACATTGGGCGCGGACAGCTGAAGACAGTGACGCCTCAAACGCTGCACGTTTCCACGAGCCTATCGTGAAAGGAAACCTGCCCAGGACGGGCGCGCCCTCACACGTGGGAAAGAGCTGGTGACACACAGGCTCCCCTGACACCTCACTTCCTGTAGGTTCATGTGAAACCTTCTAAAGCCACCACCTCAAAATGAAGACACGCGGGTCAGTGTCCTCTGAGCGCCCCCCGCCCTGCAGCCTGGCGGCCGTCTCGTCAGCATCCCACCCGCAGGAAGGACTGAACACGCCGTCCTGAGGAGCTCACGGCCTAACCTAGACCTGCAGCCGGATTGTTTACGGGGGGCTTGCAAGTCCCCTGCAATTTCTGCACATCTCCCAGCTTTAAGAACAGAAGCGTCATTCCGCTCAACTGTAAAATAAGCCTGAACTCTAGAACAACGAAATCCTACCAAAGACTGTTGTGAGTTTCACAGACAGCTTCCTCAGTTGCAGCAAGAAATCAGTGCTGTTCTTGGACCTGTGGGCCTGCCAGGCGGCCCGCACGGAGGCGGGTCCATAAACGCTGTGCAGATGAAAAAGCCCCCAAGAGAGAAGTGAGCCCCAACACGCAGATTCCGTGGGGAAAGCCCAGCACAGCACACTTTTCACTAACGTTCCTTTTCCTGGTGGGACAGAATAGGACGTGCACACAGGCAGTGCGCCGGGAGGGGTGGCTTTGCCGTGACAAGTTCTCCGGACTCTGGAGGTCCCTGCAGACTAGACCGTGTGCGCGCCAGCCGCGTAGCCGGGACCTGCTGACGTCCTGCTGCGCTGGCAGCACCGTCCCGAGCAGGAAGCCTGCTCGCCCTCTCCTGCCGGCAAAACAGCTTCACCTCCCCCTTCCACGCGGCCCCCGCTGCCCCGAAGCACCAGCTGACGGGATCACATGGAAACACATGGCAAGGACCAGGAAACATATTTTGGTGTGGAACCAGGACAGTGCGAAAGGTCAGCTTCCAACCCTCGGGGGCAGTTTGGTGCCGTCCATGTGCTTTGTTTGCATTAACGCAGGAGCATCACACCTCACTCGGGCCCTGCGACCAAGAGACAAAGCGCAGTCACGTGCCACCGAATGGCCGTGACAAGACAAGAGCAAGCTGCGCTCCGAGGACAGAGCAAACGCAGGGCTGCTTACAGACGGCCGCCGACCACCCGCCAGGAACACCCACAGGAGCCTCGAAGGGAGGGGCGAAGGGGCCACTGACAGGCGCCTGCCGCCGTCCCCGGGAGGCCAGGATGGGTGTTTGGGGCTGAACTACGTGCCTCCAAAATTCACAGGCTGGCGTCCTGACCCCAGGACCTCAGTATGTGGCCTTGTGTGGACTCGGGGTCTTTACAGAGTGATCACGTTAAAGTGAGGCCGTTGGGTGGGCCCTGATCCAGCACAGCTGTGTCCTTGTCAACAGGAGAACTTTGGGCACAGGGACAGGCACAGAAGGAAGAACAGAGGAGACACGGGCGGGAGCCGCCTCAGCGGCCTGGGGCTCGGACATCCTCCCCGTCTGGCATTTTGTCACAGCAGCCTCTCTACACCGAACACACAGGCTTTACCTCCATGTAAAACTTCTTTAAAAACCCTGATGCTACACCTACCCTCACGCTTCGTCAAGTGCCACATTGATTATGTCACTCTGTTCTCGACGTCAAGATGGAGGTCCCATCACGAATAAGTACAACCTTCGTGGTCCATGAAAACTTTGAAGGTCACAAACTGTAATATGTGTGCGAGTCTGGGCTTGAGATGGTGAGCTTCTAAATATTCTTATTTTTATTTCCATAAAATTATGAAGATAGTACAGCAGGCACACACTGTTCTTAAATGCTGTAAGTGCCTCCAAATGGATTTTTAAAATTCCCACATTGATGAATTAAACCCAGGCTCTGAGACACATTTGTTTTCATGATGACTTTGAAAAGACCAGAGTTTTTAACGTTATCGTATTGAAAGCAGGCAAAGGGACAGAAATGCGGACGCGTCCCAGTGCAAGTTGAGAAAAATCTCGCTGAATCTCAACTGATGCCTCTCGCCATCTGATGGCTTTAAAACTGTCAATCCTCATACTGTTTCTTCCCCACAAACTTTCCGAAGGGAATCGGGGTGTAGCTGGCTTCAGCCAGTGCCTCGAACTAAATCGCCCACCTGCCCCTCTGACCACATCGCCTGTGGGTCAGCTGTGGACAGAGCAGGGCCAGCCCTCCCGACCCACTTCCCATCTCAGGGGCGCGCGGCCAGAAACTGGGGCCTGCTCCTCAGCCTGACTCCTTCTCACGAAAGAGGGACCAGGAGGAGCCAGCCTTCAGCCTCCGGGGCCCGAGGCCACACGCACGCGCCTCTTCCCGGGGAGGCGGCCGCGGCCCTGTGCCACTCGGCACCGTGCACTGGCGGCGTGGGGACGTTTTCACGCCTGATCACAGCCCTGCAGCGGAAAGCTCTCTGCCAGGGGTCGTTAGTGGCCCACCTGTTGGGAAAGCTGTTTAGTTAAAAATAAAAACACGGGGCTGAGTAAGTGGGCCCCGCGGAGCACGGCAGCCCCACACACCATTAAGAGGAAAAGTCAACAGCCCGCGACGCGGAGATGGAACAGGCTGGAGCCCTGTTACCAGACTGCGGGGACCTGCGTCTCCGGGGAGGAGGCGGCAGTGCTGTTCTCCAAACTCTGGCAGGGCCGCGGTGGGAGCTGGGCTGCTGCTCTGGGGACCTGCAGAGCTGAGGCCCCATCTGCACCGAGGCAGCGACAGCAATTAGGCGAAAGGGACGTGGGTGAGCAGGGAGGCGAAACACAAACAGGAGAGGGACCGTTTGGTTTCATAAAAAACAAAACAAACGCTTGTTCCGGGCAGATGCTGGGGTCCGAACCCCCAGCCTCAGAGTCTGACCTTATTTGGAGATGGGCTCTTTAAAGAGATAATTAAATGAAGCTGAGGTCTTGAGGGTGGGCCCTCATGCAATGTGACTGTGCCTCATAAAAAGGAAACGTGTCACAGAGACACGCACAGCAGTGCCACATGACCCTGATGGGGTGACGTTTGTAAACACAAGGGATGCCAAAAATTGGCGGCAGGCCCCTGACGCTGGAGAGGCTGGGCGACTCCACCCACAGACGGTAGCCCTGAGGCACCGGGCCCTGCCCTCCGCCTGGGGGACAAGCCCACCTGCCCTCCGGTCCGCCCCAGCCATTCACTCACCTGGTGTAGGACGTCGGGGACCGGGGCCGGGCCCACTGGTACGGGTGCTGTGGCACCGACAGGTACTGGTCGCAGAAGGCGCCCTTCCGGATGTGCTGGAAGGAGGGGAACTCCTCCGGCGGGAAGTCAGACGGGGGCGGCGTGGTCCCCAGGTCCTCGCCCACAGGCTCCACCTTGAGCGCCACTGAGGGAGAGTGGTCCAGGGCGGTCTTGCGGGCCTTGACGGGGACGCCGTCGCCCAGGTCCAGGCTGCTGTCGGTGCTCAGGGCGTTGATGGCGGCCACAATGGCCGAGCTGGTGTACTGCGTGGTGTTGCCCAGCCACGTGTCATCGGTGACGCTGACCCGCGGCGAGCTGTGCGGGGACGGCGTGGGCGAGTGGTGCGGGGAGCAGGAGAGCTGCCGGCCGTTGAGGCCATACTTCCTCTTGTTGCAAGGGGACGACGGCCGGGAGGTGCGGGCCCCCAGCCAGCTCTCCTCCGTGACGCTCGTGCGGGGCGAGGTGGAGGGCGAGTGTCTCGGGGAGCCCAGCAGGCTGCAGGCCCCCAGGCCACGGGGAAAGCCCTCCTCGGCATCTGTGGTCTTGGGGGACACACAGGGGGACTGCCACGGGGACGTCTGTGGGGACGCGTACGGGTATGAGTAGTTGGACTCATAGGATGAGGCCTCAGAGTTGCAGCTGCGGGAAGACAGACTGCTGGCCGGGCTCAGGCAGGAGGGGTCGCGGTAAGCCTCCAGGTTGGGCAGGTTCAGGGTGGCCGTGGAAGGGGACCGTTTGGAGTTGGGAAGGACGTCTTCCACCTCCACGTCATGGAAAAACTGGCTGCTGCCGTGGTGCAGCCCCAGGTAGGACGTTATCTCTATGCGAGGGCTCTCCAGGGTGGGCGCCCCGCTGGGCCTAACGTGGCTGGAGGACAGAAAGTAGCCCGAGGGCCCGCCGTCCACAGCCGCTCCGTAGCCCGAGGGGTGGCCCGCTGCCACCACAGCCGGTGCCGACGTCTGCAGGTCGTGGCATGGAGCCGGCAGCGATGGGTGTGCCGTGGAGAGGGGCAGGCCGGGACTGATGTTGGAGGGCGCATAACTGTAGTGCTCTAGAAGGGCAAATGAAAAGGAGAAGGCAGCATGACCAGGAGGCATCACACACACAAACCCACGGCCCCGTGACCCCCAGGATCTGGGGCCATCGTCCCCGCCTCCCAAACAGCTCAGAGCACCAGCCCAGCCCTGCTCGGCAACGCGGTCCCCTCGGCCCCTCCCAGCCCCCGCCCTCTCCTCTGCAGCGCACAGCCCCTCTGCGCCCACACTCGCTGCCCACCGGCGGCCTTCTCCCCAACACCCTTCCTCCAGGAGCCGCGTGCTTTCTCCTGCTTGCTACTCAAAAGCTGCCCCCCCAACCACCTTGACCGTCAGAATTGCAACCCCCCCAGCCCAATGCTGATGTCACTGTTCCCCGGTTCACTTTTATCCCTTAACGTTTATCGTGCTCATGTGCGCCATCTCTTTCTCCAGCAGAAACTAAGTTCCCTGAGGGCAGAGCCTTCGCCTGCCTCCGTCCACTTTGGTTTCCTGTTGTCTTCAGAGCCTCGGACTGTGCCTGGCACCAAAAAGGTGCTCAATTTGTTTAACAGATGAACGGGTGGATGAATGGATGGATGGATGGATGGGTGGACAGATGGGTGGGTGAGTAGGTGGGTTTTAGACACACAGACCTGGACATCTAAAGAGACTTTACTAGGCTAATCACTGTTGCGCTGCCTAAATCACCAGCTACAAAGAAAACACCTCGAGGACTGAATGGAAACACAGATTCTGGGGTTTCTCCCGTGTAAACTCCTGGTGGCTCATGGCCCAGGAATCCCTTAAAAACAAACAGGTGATGCTGACGCACAGCTGGGTTTAAGAATCGTCATATGTTAATTATAAAACAAAATATTTTTAAAACTCATCACGAGTGTAATTAATAATTCCGGGCAGGAAAGCCGCACTCGTGGACCTCCAGTGCGCAGGCTTTTCTACCATCTCGGCCCCGTGCTGCGGTGTGTGTAGAGATGATACCCCAGGCCTCTGAATAATGGAAACGCACACCTGGAAACCCGACCCGGCCCCAGGCCAGGGCGCTGGCTGGGAGACGCTCGTTTGGTGGCAGCGCCGTGGTTTGGACCCCACATGGGCCAACACCAGAACACGCAGGGTCTCCAGGCGCAGCTCACACCCATGGCACTCACCACCGGAAACGGTGCAGCGCCCCACGCAGGCGAGGCCTACTTCCGCGGTAACTTCCAGGAGCAGCCATCGGCGGCCGGCTGCGGCAACCCGGCCTCCATAATCCTCGCTATCAAGCAGCCCCTGCTTTTCATGGCCCTCAATTCCCCTGACAGAAATGCTGTTTGCTGTTCCCAAGATGGCAGGCCCGGCCCCTCCAGGTAGCCTGGGGACAGCGCACGGCCCCCTCCAACCCGGCTGTCGCAGGCGGCCTTTTGGGGAGCACATCAGCGTTCCAGATGCTCAAAATCGGTGCCAGGTTCCAAAAAGCCCCCGGGGGACACAGAGCCATGACAAGGAAAACAGAACGGGGACTGAGAAACTTCAGACGCTGCAGCGGCAGGGTGCCCCCTACTCAGGACGGCCGCGTGCCTGACGGCTTCTCCAGCCAACCGCCCACGGTACCCTTGTCCTGAAAGCCTCTGCCCCCACTCTCTGAGTCTGCCCACATGTGCCCCAAAACCAGCAGGACACTGGGGACACACACGTGAGGAAAGTGAGGCCTTCGCATCCACAGGGCAGGGACCAGGGCAAGGCCTGACCCCAACGCCAGGCCCGGCCTGGCCTCCCACACCTGTCCATGGTGGCGGGACGGCCATGCCCATGTCACCGACATTCACTGGGACCCCGGCTCCCACCAACACCCTCATGTGCTCACTGAAATCAGATGTTAAAAACTTGATTACAGTTTTTGTAAAAATCAAACCAGAAGCTAATAACCCTGGAAAGGCACTTCCTGGAGGAGGTCAAAGGTCCTCGGACGAGGAGATGGCATGGGGGCCACAGGCTGCAGAGGCCCCGAGCACCACAGTGACCTCTTGGGACAAGTGTGGACCTCACTGCCTCAGCCCTTCCCCCGCCTGGCGTGCGGGTGCCAGGCCGTCCTCCCGCAGCCCGGTCTGTGACAAACCACTACAGAAGGCGCCCGAGCTGGACACGGAGGAGGCCGGGCAGGAGCAGGGCGAGTCCCAGGGCCTGGGGACGCCACGAGGCCGCGCGTTCCCGTGGACAGGAAACCGCCCCTCCGCGAGGGTCGCCCAGCACGGCAGGACCGCCGAGGGGGCTGCAGCCCCGTGAAGGCAGAATCGCCTCGGGCACCCAGGAGACTACATGCTACTCTGTATTTCTTATGAGATTCGCCTTGGCAAAATAGTGTTTCTCTGTATCCCATACGAGGCAGTGTGCACCATTACATGTGTGTTACGTAGACATATCTACCTGTGTCCCAGTCAGGTGTCCTCCCCACAGGCTGGCCCAGCACCTCCCAAACCTTTCCAACCAGAGCTGCTGGTTAGAAAAAGAACACCCGTGTTCCCGAGGCCTGCAGGTGTCAGCGGTGCCCACGGGACCGCAGGTAAGTCAGCCGTCAGCCAGTCTGACCAGGAGCAGGGCTGAGGGGGGTGGGCGTGCAAAGCTCCGCCGAGGAATCGTGTGACTATGGTGATGACTCACGATGGGGCCACATGCTATTAACGAAGCAAGCGTGAATCCGTATTACACGTGTACAGGGCGGGAGTTGTAGTGATCAGACTGCAGTGGCCTCTCTCTGTGTGACCTGTTTGACACGAGGTGTACGTCAGGGCGGTGTCTGCCCGCCTTCTACCCTGGTGGCTTTTCACTAGTGACCAGTGGCTGCCTCCTGGTCCCCCACGTGTGCAAAACGGCCCGGGGTGTGCGTTTCTTCAACCCAGCCGGCCTTGAGCACCCCCTTTCCGGTTGTCCTGCCCACTCGCTCCCCCAGGTCCCTCCTCGGCCTCTGCCAGCCCTGCGGTCAGGCCTGCGCCGGGTGGTCACCCGCAGGGAGCTCGCTGGTCTCTCCCTCGTCCTGACACGTGCGCTCTTAGCCCACTGAGGCAGAGCCGGACGCCGCGTCCTGTGGCCTCTGCTCCCCTTCTGCTTTTGGGGTGGAAGACATACCCGCAGGGGCCCCCGCACAACCCCCAGCCACAGGCAGGGGTTTCCAGGCAGCTGCCACAAAGCCTGCACAGGACAAACTCTGTTCCCTGATGGCTGTCCTCGAGGTGGCAATGTCCCCATGACAGGGACAAGCGTCCCACCCTTGCAGATGGAAGAGGCCCTCCAGGCCGGCTGCCTGTGTCTGAGTGAATGAGCCCCCACATCACAACCTCGCTGCACGCGGGCCCACTGTGTGTCCAGAGCACACGGGTGACCTCACAGGCCATAAAAAGGGAATTTTCTCTTTAGAGAGAAATCACCAAATGCAGCAGACGCAGCACCAGGCACGGGGTTGACGGAAACGTGGGGGGTGTGGTTGTGAGCAGCGGGCGAAGCCCGACCGTGTCCCTCCCCTCCCCCCGCCACACCCGGGGGCCGGGGCCCTGGGGAGGACCCTCCCCACCAGCACCCGCCCCTGAGGTGTCCAGGTCCTTCGGGAGGTTTGGGACAGACCCCTACACCTCCTGCCCGAAGGAGGAGAACGCCACGCGGATGTACGACTCATTTTAAGACAGAGCTGATCCCACAGTTGAACCACTGTTTGTTGACGGGAAGGTAATTCTGAGAATTTTTTAAAATGCCAGCAAGTAGCAGAGCAAGTCTGGGCCCCCCCACCTGCCGCCCACAGAACTCTGCTGGGGAAGGTCCTGGCGAAACGCCGGGGAGGGGGGGGGCGGGCAGGGTGAGGGGCCTGACAGGCATCTTCCTGGAGCTGCCAGCAGAAACGGGCCTGTGGACAAGGCCCGGCCGCGTGAGGGGACGTGTGAGGGCGGCCGCCCCCCGGGGGAGCGCAGCGCCCACTGACAACCAGAACATTCCACGAGGGGCTTTCATTTAAACGAAAGTCTGTCAGTAACCATGAGTCAATGAGTTAAAGAAAAAAACCACAAAACCATCATTAGAAAACATGGAAAGACTCACCTAAGCACGGCTTCTCCTTAATTATAGACAAATTACGAAACGAAGGCCTCAGAGGCCTGAACCTCACTGTGCACACACCGCCGAGCTGATGACGGGTTCTCTATAGAACAAAAACACGACGAGGCAGCGGTCCCAGCCTGCGGGGCCAAGTCCCCCGGGCCCAGCCGGCACCTGTCCCCTCCCCGCCACCGGCTTCACGCCATTTGGTTTTATTACCAACCTAAGCCATATTCAAATCTGAATTATTTAACTATTCAAAGGGATCACATTTACATGGAATGAAACTATTCCCAGTAACCTTCCTGACAGTCCTGAGATGTTCAGGCCGACTCGTGTCACGTCAGGAACCACAGAAGCGCTCGCTCAGCACCCATTACAGTCATTGTCTGCTGGCGCTCCTGGCACCTGGCCATCTGCCAAGGAGGGCCCATTAATAAAATGGTGACAGGGCAGGTGAGCTCAAAGCAGCAGCAGGAGTTTAAGCAAATATTATGGAGAGCCTATTCAAAATGGTTCACTGTAACAGAACTAGTAAAAGTGGGGCTCTGAAGACACACACCCCCCCCTTCCTCTCTGATTCTCACTGCTTGTCACCCTCATGGCAGGAGCACCGTGCAGGGCACTCTGGGCACACACGGGCACCAGCGAGGGTGCCGGCAGCCAGCAGGGCGCCCACCACGAATGCCACGCTCAGCAATCAGCAAGTCAGGGTTGTCAAAACTGCCCCGTCTCACTGTGAGAAGTAATTTGTTTCAAACTATACAATTGTATTATTTCTGAACAACCACCAGAAGAACACGTCCACGTGCTTTCTGTTAGGCCGAGCGCATCCGGCCATCCCGGGGACCACCAGGCCGGGCGCTCCTGGGCCCAGACTGGCCGCACTCGCATCCGGCTGGCGGCGGAGGCCCTGTGTCTGCCAGGCTGTCAACTCCAACAGAACCGCCACCTC